CTGTGGGAGGGATCTAGGAGTGGCCAAGTAGTTTGGGGTGACTGGAGATCGGGTCTAAGGAAGATCTGGATGAAAGTATCAGTAAACTGGGGTGAACAGAATGCCTGGGACTTGGACCATGTGGCCCAGGGAGAATGGAGTCTAGATAGGATTAAGGGTAGGAAGTGGCCTGGGGCCATCTGGAGGTAGATTGGGCATAGGCCATAATGAAAGACCAGTTGATAGGATTATAGCCTCATGTGAATGCCTGAGATTTAGCCATGTGAGAATGTCCAGGGTTTTTTTTTCCTTTTTGGGGTCCAGATCCCATCCTCATCCATTATCCTGAAAAATTTTTCCTAAGCTGTGATTAGTGAAACTTGCTGTTTTGAGGTAAAAGCTCAAAGGATTTTATTTTGAGTTGTCTGATGGATCATAATCTATTGATAATCAATAATCCACCATCTCAGAGAAATGCCACAAGCTACTCAGAGAATGTGATACTTACTGGTGGGAAGTCAGCATCAGAAAAAGCTGAGAGGACAATTTTAGCCTCAGTCTAAGATGGGATCCCCAGGCTCAGTTTCCTCATTATATTCCTTTGAAAAGGAATGTTACCCACCTAGCTATTCCTGAGTCTGGCTTTAATTTGATGGTGGATTTGATTCTGCATGGTTGGAAAACTGAATTATCTGAATCCAAACAGAGCTAAGGTTGTTTCATCCTGTCATATCTGGGCCCTGCAGTCTTTTCTGTCAGATTTGTGTCTTCCAGACTGCAGGCCATTCACGGACAGTTGGTAGCAAACAGCAGGTACCAGCAAATGTCCCCCCATCATTCCTTGGATGCAGTCAACTTCCTCTTTGGGACCCCCTCGAGTCAGGGACAACTCTATACCCCTTGCAAGCGGGAAGCAGTTTCAGAAGCCAAGACCTTTGTCCCTTACCTCAAAAGAATTTGAGTCCCATTTATTTGAGGGGGGAGTGATGAGGATGGGATCTGTACTCCAAAAAGGAAAAACCCTGGACTTTCCACAGAAAAGTGCTCTTCCCTAGACCCCTCCTCCAGTCACCCCAAACTACTTGGCCACTCCTAGATCCCTCCCACAGTTTTTCTGTATACAAGGTCCATCTTAACTCCATTAAGGTGCTCAGATTCTTATAATCTAGCCACTGCTCAGATTCCTTAAGAACCTAGCCAATACCTCACAAATGTTCAGATTCCCTAACAGTCTGGCCAATATGTTGGATCTTTAATAAACCTTGTCTTTGGCTGAAAGAAGGCTTGGGTCAAATTCATTAGGGTAGGAACCGCATGTTGTGATTTTGGGGTCCCAGTACCCCTAAACTCCTGAACCTCTTCATAACCTTTCTATTTTTTTTGCAAGGCAATTGGGGTTAAGTGACTTGCCCAGGGTCACACAGCTAGTAAGTGTCAAGTATCTGGTCTGAGGCCACATTTGAACTCAGGTCCTCCTAAGTCCAGGGCTGGTGCTCTATCCACTGCACCACCTAGCTGCCCCATAACCTCTCTATTCTTTAAAAAATTAACAGAAATCAATTTCCTTTTCCTCTCATCCTCATTAAAAAAGGAAAAAAAGCAAATTTCTTATAACAAGTATGCATTTGTCATTCAAAACTACTACATTCAGATACCCTGGAATGCATTCCTATGTCTTCCATATTATTTCTACATCTGGTAGCAAAATAGCTGATAAGAAAGTGTGTTATTCTGAATCCCTTTCATTTATAGAAGTATTTTTATATATCACATTATTTAATTGACAATTCTGAAATCAATTTAAGATGAAGGCGCATTATAAATTGCCACGCAAATCCACAGATTTCTACACAATTTAATTGATAGTCATTTTATTGTTTAGAGACTTTAGTCATTTAGAAAGACAAAAGAACTGGCTTGTGTTATTTGATCTAGGTATTTTGGCTATTTCATTGATAAAATTAATTGACCAGCGTTACAGTTGAATCATTGGGAGCAGTAAGTAATTGTTACTAAGAATGAAAAGTAATTGTCCCAGAACACTTGATATCATTCTAACTGCAATTCACAATTTGCAGGTGTCTCCTTACCATGTGCCAAACTCTTGTCCCTAACCTAGGGACATGCGGAACACCAAGAGAACAAATCATTCCATCGAGAGTAGGATAATAGGATTTAATGCTGGAAGGATCAGAGATCATTTAATCAATCCTCTCCCCCACCCCTCATTTTACAGAGAAGCAAATCCAGAGCTAAACAGGTTAGGTCACTCATGTAGTAAATAACAAAACTGAGATTTGACCCCAAGTCTTGGGACTCCAAAAATCCAATGATGTTTCCACTATACAGCACTAATTATGTCACCTTGGAAAAACTACCAGGTCCCCTGAGAGCAAAGACAAGCTTAATCAGTAGTATGCTGGTAAATGTTTAACAAGCTGCTCTCTGGGGGGGGAGAAAGGTAGGCTCAATATATTTTTAAGTTTGATCTGCAAAACCAACATTTTTTCCCATCTCTTTCTTAAATCTAGGCAATCAACAAAACAATAAATCAAACCTTGATTTGTGTCTGCTGATTTCCAAGATGTAAATGCTCACACTGAAAATTTATCACCTTTCTTTGAGCTGGCTCCACTATGTACCTGAGCTTAAGTATCTACAAGTAAAGTTTCAATAATAAAACCATTAGTGAGCCCTCAGATTCTGTCAGAGGAACTTCTCACCCACATAAGGCCATGGGACTATTATATGAATGGCCTATGACCTAGGAACTATATCACTGAATTAAAAGACATGGAGGAAAGATGATGGGTGTGTCAACATCTCAAGATTTCTGTTTCCCCATCTATAAAACGAGGAGGTGAGGCTAAATGATCTCCAAGGCCCCTTCCAGCTCCCAAATTCTATGATTCTGTTGTTTTATGACTAGAACCCTATATTTATGTGTCTCTCTTACCATCTCTGCTTTGAATCTTACCCCTCTGACCGATGACTTCTGGTACCAGCAGCCACAAACTATCTAGGCTTAGCCTGAATTTGACTGATAATGCGTCCCAGCTGACTTTAGATCAGTATCCAGTCCTGTTTCTCAATAATTCCACCAACCTCCTTGAGGCAGGATCGTGTTCTTTTCTTTAACATTGATGTCATTTCCCAATGACTCCCCGCCCCACCCTCACAATATAACCATTCCTTGTAACAAAGAAATACAGTTAAGAACAGCAATCAGCACATTGGCTGCACCTGACAATGGATGCCCCATTCCACACCTATTGTCCATCACCCAGAGAGGAAAAGATAAGCTTCATTATTAATCCTCTGTAGTCACAATGGGTCACTGCACAGAGTTCTGAAGTCTTTCACTGTTGTTTTCCTTTATGTAACTATGATCATAATGCAAATGTATATTCCTGGTTCTACTTAACTTTACTCAGTATCACTTTATACAAATTTTCTCCAAGGTTTTCTCAATTCTTCATACTTATTTCTTCGATTTCAATAAAATCCTCTTGTATTCATATCCCATAATTTGCTGAGGCATTTCCCAATTGATAGACACCACTTTCTTTCCAAATTCAGTTCTTTGCTTCTTCAAAAAGTGTTTCCATAAATGTTGGAATGTACAAAAATGTGCACCTTTTTTTTTTAAGCCCCTTAGGATACATACCTAGTAGTAGTTGTCTCATTAATCTATAATCACCCTTTTCCCCAGTAGAATATAAATGCATAGGCTCATAATTCCTGGGGTTTTTTTTTTGTCTTTGTATTCCCAGAGAATAACACCATACCTTCCACATAAAAGATGCTTGACAACCATTTATCCAATTGAATGGAAATTGTTAGAGCTGAATCAATTGAAACTTTGTTATCTCCTAGTCTGAGAAGCTACCTAGGGTGGTACAGAAAGGACTAACCTTATATTTTAAAAAGACCCAGGCCGGAGTCCTACCTCAGAGTCCCAGGCAGCTAAGACTAGCTATAGGCAAGTCTGTGTTGGTGAATTATAGTGTAGCACTCCCTCTAGGCTTATGCTCCCAACTTTCAGGGGATAAACCAGTTTAACTAACTAACTAGCCACTTAACTAGGTAACTTACTAGCCAGGTAACTAGGTTACCCAGAGGGTAATGACTATTGTTCCCCTCAGGGATCTCAAGGTAACCCTGAGGGGTTGGTGTATGTAGTCCTGCCTCTAATAGGCCCACACTAAAAAAAAAAAAAAAAAAAAAAAAAAAAAATCACACTCCCCAACCAGGTGAAGTCAATTAACTTTACAAAAGGATATTTACTGAGAAGGTGTAATAAAAACAGAAATTACAAAACAACGGCCTACATACCTAAACTGGCTGTAGGGAACACACACACACACACACACACACACACACATGCACCCATGCACACACTCTCTCTTCTCTTTCTTCTCTCTTCTCTCTCTTCTTCTTTGTCTCTCTCTCTCTTCTCTCTTCTTCTTTCTCTCCCTCTCTCTCTCTCTCTCCTCTTCTTCACTCTTTCTTCTCTTTCTCTTCTCTCTCTCTTTTCTTCTTCTCTCTCTTTTCTCTCTCTCTCTCTCTTAAATTTAAAGAACAATAGCAATGAAGACTTGGAGCCAAAGATTCTTGCAAAATTCCTGATCCTTGCAGTCCTTTTCTCCCTTTGAGCAGTCTCCACTAACTTCATCTTGGGACATGGCATGGACTTGCTGAGCCAAGAGAGTCCCTGGAAAGGCTCGATGTCTCCACTGACGGATTAATCTACTTCTGGCTGGGTCAAGCAGGTCATTTTTCTGCTTTGCAGGCTCCTCACCAGATTCAGCTGTCATTGCTACTGCTTCTGATTGAGAGCAGGACAGATGATGGCTTTGATAGAGCTGTTCTCACTGGTCCCCTAGACATTTATCTTCTTTGAGTACTAATTCACCCAAAATCAGGAAAGAACACACACACACACACACACACACACACACACACACACACACACACACACACACACCCCACCCAGCAAACAAAAAAGGTGACATGCTCACCGAAAGTTTGCTAGGTGGGAGGTGGGATGAAGATCAGACAATGCCATTGATTCCTCTGATTCTGTCCACTGATGGCTCTCATCAGATCTTGCCTTGATCACTACTAGGAAGAAAAAAAACAAAAGGGCCAAGGGAGGGGGCTTATCAGTCTTTTTGCATTTGAAATAAATTCCAGCTCAATGCCTCCTGAGTCATCAGTTCTTCCATCTCCTTTGCCAACCTAAAGAATTATCATTATCACAAAACAACAGCCCTTCAATCAGTCATGGTCAGGCAGAATGTGGGCTCACCCAAGCCTTCACATATTATATTGGAACTAAGCAGAGATTATGATATTCTGTGTAACTCACCAGGAAGGGCAAATCCAAGCATAATTTTAAAATCTGGGCTCTTGCTGTTCGGTCCCCCTCCTCCATTACAATAGTACCATAGATTTAGAGTTGGAAGACACCTTATATTCAATACCAGCCCCTCTGCTTGTACAGATGAGGAAACTGAGACAAGAAAGATTAAGTGATTTGTCCAATACTACATAGATAGTAAGTGACCTGGGTGAGATTTGAACCCAGGTGGCTCTGACCCCACATCCAGTACTCTTTCCAGTGCACCAACCTCCACATCTGGAATTCTTCATACTGATGAAATCACAGATCCAAGCCCAAAAAAATCAAACAAGCAACAACAATGATTTTTTTAAAAACCCTCCTAAGTACAATGCATTGCATATGGATGGAGTTTAATAAATGTTTATTGAATTAATACATTAATCAGTTGATGAAGTTTTACAAGTCACTCCTGGAAAGGTAAATGAAAACTGCAGTGATTTCTAGTTTACTTTGTCTGCCTCCACACTTGGGGGAAGACCTGTTATTTGGCAGCTGCCTCAGCTTGCCAGGTCATTAATTATCACACTGCTAAAATACAAAACACTGGGCAGTTGTTCTAGGGTGAATGTGCATCCTAGTATAATAAAAGTGCCAGTTTGTTCTCCGAATCCCCCTAATCCCCTCTGAAAAAAAAAAGACTAAATATTATCTATGAAAATCAGCAACATCACTGCAGTGAAAGTAAGAGTCTCACCTTCTCCCCCGGCTGCCAGTTCCTTCTATGAGTGAATGTCTTAGATCAGAGGGTACAATTCTCAGCTAAGGGCCTGCTCTTGGAGTTACGTAATCTTCTTGGGCAAAGTGCCAGCAACCAAATCTGGCAATACTGAGTACCTGCTGAAGCTAATTTCATTTCTGTTTGTTTGGCTGTTTGGATATTTGCTTCTGTTTAGGTTTGATCATTATGTATATGATCAGATGCTTATTCACAGATAAGATCGTCAACCTATTGTTGGAGGAAGGAAGTGAGCTACCTGTATTTGCTTAGCCCTGTAATTAGCTTGTGATTTTGGTGACTGGAACTGAGAGGTTCAGTACATGATTTAATCTATGCCTGTAGCTCAGGTGAATGCATGTTTTAAATTTCAATCTATATCTCAGCACCAAGCACCACGTAAATTAATCCACAGGTAAAATTTATGAATTTGGAGATTCTGAGCTAAGTGTATTTGCTGAATTTCAAGGTAGGGTTTCACATCTGAGTTTCTTAGTCTTATTTTTATTACTGCTTCATATCCAGATCGAATTGCCTATAAAAGACAACCCATAGGCTGTGCTCAGAGTTGCCATTCCTGGTTCTGGTCAACCATATGAGAGTTTCGAGGTCTCCTTCTGGCCATGGGTGACTCAGGGCAAAATGCTTTGTACTTTGAGATGACAAAAATTTAATTCTTATTGGCTATGGAGCCAGAAATGTGGGTGGCTCAGGATATGTGTAAAATGAATAGTAGATTGTTTTCTCCTTCTTTCTTCCTTTCTGCCTACAAATTCTGCCTTTATTAACTGTTTTGAGCTGCTTCCTGAAAGGCGGTTAGTGGAAGAGGTGGCTTGCCTTAATCTTCACCATCGCCTCCATACAGCTGTGAGCATATAAAATCTAAATAACATGTCCTGACTAGGCAAGCTCGAACTTGAGTTTGGGCTAACGCTTCTGTTTGGTTTGTTTGTTTTTTTTCTCTTTCTTGATATTAAGTAAATGAGTGTTTATACAAAGATGAACTTGTCTTGGCTTAGTGAGTTAAGAGTCAGATCACACTGGTGTCTAGGAAGGAGTCCCCAGCCACTACTCTACTATTCTTGGAAAGAAAACCTATCAATAAAAGGATTATCCCAAGCCTGGTAATTTTACCAACTGATGTTTACCAAGAGTTGTTTAGACAGTATGGTGCTGAGGTGAAATGTAAAATGCCTAATTAGAAATCCTGCAAACTACTTTATATACTGATGAGGTTAAGAGTTAGGCTTCCAGTAGATTAAAACAGTTGTTATATGTTAAGTTACTAAATCCTGTTTAAGTAGTTCTCAATATGTGCTGTTTTTGTGTCTTCAGCATTTTTTGAGCTAAATGGTCCAGTGGATAAGGTACTAGGCCTGAAGTCAGGAAGACTCATATTCCTGAATTCAAATCTGGCCTCAGACACTTACTACCTGTGTGACCCTAGGCAAGTCACTTAATCCTGTTTGCCTTGGTTTCTTCATCTGTAAAATAAGGTGGAGAAGGAAATGGCAAACCACTTCAATATCTCTGCCAAGAAAACCCCAAATGGAGTCATGAAGAGTTGAACGTGACTGAAAACAACTGAACAACAAAATTTCTCTTAGATATAGAAATAAATTATTTGTCCCATACTAGATCATATTTTGAGCCAAAGAGTATGATAAAGACTAATCACTCTCATTAGAGGCCAGGCTCCCCTAGGAATAAACCCAGTTTAAAACACATGCCTAGAAACAGAACAAGAAGCAGTCACAGTGCTCCAGCCCTGATGAGTCCAGCAGTGGTTTCTTTTCTTTTTTTCCTTTTTTTCTTTTTCTTTTTCCAGAAAAACCTGGGAAGACTGTAACCAGCAGTGGTTTCTTAAGATTAGTTATAAGATTAGTTCACCCTGAAAAGGTGAAACAGGGAGGGTCCCTCTCAGACGTACTATGGGAATAATGGGAATGTCAAATAAAGAAACCATCATGTCAGTCCTCCAAGCTCAGTTTACTAGGCTGCATCTTCCTTTCCAATAATGTAATTATCTTTTAAGTTAAAGAGGTGATTATTGATTTTTCTTTTGCCACCTATGTCAAAACAATAGTGTCTCTATCAACTAATTGTGTGCCAGGAAGAGCTGTGAGTATTAAGTTAATTAAAAGTCATTGACGACTTAGAGAAACTTTCTTCCCTAGTTGGTATCCTACAATCTTTTCTCCTCTTCCTAGATGTTTCATTTTCCTGTGAAAACTAATGCCCCTATTTTGTCGACGGTTGTTTTGCTACCACAAAAAAAGTGCAAAAAACTGGAAACAAAGTGGAAATGGTTGAACAAATTGTGGTGTGTGAGTGTAATAGAGCATTATTGTGACATAAAAATAGCATAAGAGAATTTCAGAGAAACTTGGGAAGGCTTGGATGAATATTTCCAGAGCGAAGTAAGCAGAGCCAAGGGAATAATATATGCAATGATGAGAGTAATGTAAAGGAAAAGAACAGTTAAAGACATCAGAAAATAGATCAATGCAATTCTCTCAGTTTCAGGGGTCTGATGATGAATTATCCACTCCCCGTAGTAGAGAGGTGGTGGACCATAGGTGCAGAATAAAGCATATGCTGTCAGACATGGTCAACATATCAATTCCCCACCCCCTTAACCTCTTTGTTAAAATTTAACGTTTGGAGGTGGAAAGGAGGTTTTTTTAATTAATTTATTTTTAGTTTTCAACATTCATTTCCATATGCTTTTGAGTTTTAAATTTTCTCCCCCTCCCTCCTCCCCAAAATGGAATGCAATCTGATATAGGCTCTATGTATACATTCTTATTAAACATATTTTCACATTAGTCATATTGTAAAGAAGAATTTGAACCCATGGGGAAAACCATGACAAAGAAGAAACAAAACAAAACAAAACAAAACAAAAAGAGAGAAAGCAAATAGTATGCTTTGGTCTGTATTCAGACTCCATAGTTCTTTCTTTGGATGTGGATAGCATTTTCCATCATGAGTCTTTTGGAGTTGTCTTAGATCCTTCTATTGCTGAGAAGAGCTAAGTCTATCAGAGTCAGTAATCGCACAATGTGCTTGTTACTGTATATAATGTTCTCCTGGTTCTGCTCACTTCATTTAGCATCAGCTCATAGAAGTCTTCCAGTTTTTCCTAAAGTCCACCTGCTCATCATTTCCTATAGCACAATAGTATTCCATTACATTCATATACCACAACTTGTTCTGCCATTCTCCAATTGATGGGCACCCCCTCAATTTCCAATTCTTGGCCACCACAAAAAGAGCTGCTATAAATGTTCTTGTACATGTGGGTCCTTTTCCCATATGCATGATCTCTTTGGGATACAGACCTAGAACTGCTATTGCTGGGTCAAAGGGTATGCATATTTTTATAGCCCTTTGGGCATAGTTCCAAATTGGATCAGTTCACAACTCCACCAACAATGAATTAATGTTCCAATTTGGAAAGGAGTTTTTTTTTAAATATTAATTTATTTTGATTTATCAACAATCATTTCCATAAGCTTTTGAGTTTTAAATTTTTCTCTCCCTCCCTCTTTCCTCCCTCCCCAAGATGACATGCAATCTGATATAGGCTAGGTATATAATTCCTATTAAACATAATTTCACATTAGTGATCTTGTAAGAAAGAATTAGAACCAATAGGAGGAACCACCAGAAAGAGGAAACAAAACAAAACAGAAGAAAAAGTATCAAATAGTATGCTTCAATCTGCATTCAAACTCCACAATTCTTTCTTTGGATGTGGATAGCATTTTCTACCATGAGAACTTTGGAGATGTCTTAGATCTGTGCATTGCTGAGAAGAGCTAAGTCTATCAGAGTCAGTAATCACACAATGTGCTTGTTACTGTATACAGTGTTCTCCTGGCTCTGCTCTCTTCACTCAGCATCAGTCTATATAAGTATTTTTCCAGGTTTTTCTAAAGTCTGCCTGCTTAACATTTCTTATAGCACAATAGTGTTCCATTACATTGATGTGCCACAACTTGTTAAGCCATTCCCTAATTGGTAGGCATTCTCTCAGTGTCCAATTCTTGGCCACCACAAAAAGAGCTGCTATAAATATTTTTGTACATGTGGGTCCTTTTCCCGTTTGTATGATCTCTTTGAGATACAGCCCTAGAAGTGCTATTGCTGGGTTAAAGGGTATGTACATTTTTATAACCCTTTGGGCATAGTTCCAAATTGCTTTCCACAATGATTGGATCAGTTCACAACTCTACCAACAATACATTAATATTCCAATTTGGAAAGAAGTTTTAATGGGAGCTAAAATAAATATTTTTTTTAAATCAATACAATCTGTTAAATTCAAGAAAAGAAACGCCATCTATTGGGTTAATTTCTTTTGTTCTGTTCAAATACAACAAGTGCTCCTTCAAATACAGTATACTAGTGTCACCTTGGGTTACCTAAGCCTATAATAACTCCATTAGTATGTAAATCTGCTTGGGGTGGGGAGGAGGGAGGTGGAGGGGAGGTAGAGAGGATGAGGAAAGATGAATGAATGGTTAGGTGCCAAATGGTCCATCCAAAACTGAGCTCAGTTCAAAATCTTGGAGACAAAGAAAATGTGGAGGAAAGTACAGTGAGGGAGAGAGAGAGACAGAGAGTCACAGAAAGAAAGAAGAGGAAGAAGTTGAGGCTGGGGGGGGGGACAGATATATGGGAGCAAAACAGAGTTGGGGGAGAAAACAGAAAGGGGAGAGAGAGACAGAGAGACAGACACAGAGAGAGACAGAGAGAGATTATGAAAGTATTAGACTGTTGTTTGTTCTTCTGTTCTCAAAGAGATCCATGACATCAGGGAAGTGATGCCTTGGCATGTAAGTGAATTGAATTCAAGTGAGGGAGGTCTGTGCAAAGTCATCAGCCTCACTTTCTCCTCCAGAGCCATCTGGGTCCCATGGCAACATATAGATCAGGACAACTGGAGATGGCCCTGGATGCAGTGAGAGACCTTGGGCTTTTTAAGCTCAGGTCTTTAACAGTTTGTCTGAGGCAATGACTATTCAGTGATTAAAGCTAGGTAAGAAA